GTAGAAGAAAATGTAAAATCACTACAGAACTTCAAGGCGGGAGGTTTGAGGGCAGGTGCTGGGTTTCCACTCCAGGAGGGGGTATGAAGATTTCAAATAGTCAGGAAGGACAACCTAATGTTTTTCACTTGTTTACAAGAATCAGTGAGTTTGATAACACACTGGCTGGCCTGGGAAGACAGGCATATTCGTATGTTGCCAGAGGGAGAGAAAAACAGGCAACCTTTGTGGAGAGCAACTTGGAAATGTTTATCACACAAATATTCTTTGCTCAGAGAAATCCATTTCTAAAGCATATATGCAAGTAAAATGACCCAGGTTTATTGCAGCCTTGCTTGTAACAGCAAAAGACTGAAAATAATGTATATGTTGTTAATAGCAGACTGGTTATATAATTATGGTATGCTACACAGCTATAAAAAAGAACAAGGAAGTTCTTTATGTATTGGAAGAGACTGATCTCCAAGATATATTGTTGGCTGAGAAAAGCAACATACAGACCAGTGTAAGATGTGTGCTCTAGTTTGTGTAAAAAAAAAAAACAAGGGGGGGAGGCAGCTGAAGGGAAAAAATACTTGTATATATTTAGAATCTCTCTGAAAGGATAGCCAAGAAACCAGTAGCACTGGCCGCCTGCGAGTGTAACAGAGTAGCTGGGAGAGAAGAGGTCTTCCCAGAGTAAATCTTTTTTTTTTTTTTTTCTAAATTCTTTAAAATTTTCAATCATGTGAATGCATGTTATCCAAGATACAAACACTTAAAATGGATATAAAACTCCGAGGGATGCTCTGAGCAGATGAGCGCTCTACAGTTTGTACAGCCTTGGGCTTACTCGCTGCTCCTGTCCTAGGGCCCCGGCTACAGAGCTGGGCAGCCTCTGCCACCTGGTCTTCAGTGCGCTCTGTCCCTGCCTGTGGCCTGTCCACTGCCCCCAAATCAGCCGGCTGCTCATATCCCCCGGGCCGCATCTGCTTCCTCCACTCACCCTTCTAGCCCAACTGTAAGCTGGTTTTCACTACCACACCTCTCTGCCGTATCACAGGGCATCTCAGATCTTCTCACTGCCAAGTTCAAGGGCCTTCCCTCAGCGGCATTCTCCTGGACCTCAACTCGTATTTGACACTTAAGGGGACCTTCTTTAAATTCGCTCCTTCCCTGTCTTCCCTCGTCTCACGGCGAGGTTTCCTTCTCACACTTCATCCTGCGCCCTAGCGTTGCACATTCCCCAGTGCTCAAGCCCGTCCCTCTGTTCTTCTCTTTTCCCCATGTTCCCAGAGTGGGGGAGGGGTGTCTCGCACTCTTAAGGTTTCCAGGACCACTGTTAGGCTGAAGTCTCCCACATCATGCGCTACGAGCCATCCTCTCCTCCAAGCTCCAGTCCCAGGAAGAAATGCAAACTGGGCATTTCCACCTGGCCGTCCCGCCCTGACCTGGATCATCACGTTCTGTGTTAGATTCCAACCACCCACCCCACCTGACTGGCTGTGCTCTGAACTTCCGGGCAAAGGCCAGTGGCTCTGCAAATTCTGTCAGGCACCCAGCTTGACGTGCTGGAAATCCTGGGAGTCATTCCTGCACTGGACAAATCCTCTGAGACCAAAGGGCTGATTACGGCTCAGACCCCGCTCCTCCCTCCCTCTCCAGCCAGCCTCAAGTCTCTGCAAGTCTTCCTTCCTCTACGTTTCTACTGATCCACCCAAGCTCTGGAATGAATCACAAGATGACTCAACCGTCTCTGAATCATCCCATCATTTAGTCAACTGCCAGAGTGAGGACACGCGGTGTTGGAGGCATCCTGCCAGCTGCTATGGGGGTGCGAAGATGAACAGGGCACACAGACGGTTCTGCTCCAAGTCAAAGGATGGAAGGTAACAAAAGAAGGGTGATGGAAATTCACAGGAGGGAGGGATCACTTCCAGAGAGAGAGCTCTGAGAAGTTTTACTGGAGCAGTGAGGACCACGTCAGGCTGCCCTGGGATGAGACAGGAGAGGGCAGTGAGAAGGGTGACCACCACCACTAGAAGGTGGTCACAGGGTGTTTAAGGCAGAATAGTTAGAGGGGGACCCAAGGTCTGGGAATATTTTTAAAAGGTTGAGAGAGAAAAGGCACCAAAGGGGCTTCCCTGGTGGCGCAGTGGTTGAGAGTCCGCCTGCCAATGCAGGGGATGCGGGTTCGTGCCCCGGTCCGGGAAGATCCCACATGCCGCGGAGGGGCTGGGCCCGTGAGCCATGGCCGCTGAGCCTGCGCGTCCGGAGCCTGTGCTCCGCAACGGGAGAGGCCACAACAGTGAGAGGCCCGCGTACCGCAAAAAAAAAAAAAAAAAAAAAGCACCAAAGGAAAGGTCAAAATTATAGAACAGAAGGGGCGGCTGATAATTGATAGAATTCTTACCAGGCCAGGTTCTATGAGCTTAATGTTAATACTAAGTTTTTACTCTTTTTTTTCACAACTTCCAAGGACATGAGAATTAGAGTGAGTTACAGGGCCTTCAGATAAGGCGGCAGAGGCCCCAGAAAATGGTTAACAGAGGCCAGCCCTGGGGTGGAGGAGGCTGGGGGGATGGGGGACCTGGGAGACTCGCTTTTGACTATTTAACGTCTTGTGTATACCTTTTGAGTTTTGTACTAGGTCTGTGTATTGACATTATTACAAAACTAAACTTTTTAAAAGCTATTTTTTTGTTTTACACATATCTACATTCTTTTTTTATAGTCTTTTCCATTACGGTTTACCACAGGATATTGACGAGTTCCCTGTGCTATACAGTAGGACCTTGTTGTTTATGTTTATCCATTCCAGATATAATAGTTTGCGTCTGCTCATCCCACACTCCAAGTCCAGCCCTCCCTCACCACCCCTCCCCCTTGGCAACCACAAGTCTGTTCTCTATGTCTGTGAGTCTGTTTCTGTTCTGTAGATAGGTTCCTCTGTGCCATATTTTGGATTCCACATGTAAGTGATATCATATGCTATTGGTCTTTCTCTTTCTGACTTACTTCACTTAGTATGATAATCTCTAGTTGTATCCATGTTGCTGCAAATGGCCTTATTTCGTTCTTTTTTATGGCCGCGTAGTATTCCATTGTATATATGCACCACATCTTCTTTATCCATTCCTCTGTCAATGGACATTTAGGTTGTTTACTGTGAATAGTGCTATGAACATAGGGGTGCACGTACCTTTTTGAATTATATCAAAAAACTACTATTAAAGATGAGTTTCTGAAGGGAATGAGAAAAATAGGGTTACGGTAGCTCGACAAGACCTCATGTGTTGCTTTGTTCTGAAGAAAGTAAAAACTAAAGCAGTTGGAAATACTGATGGGAAAGATCGAGTAGAAATGAGCCCAACAGTGCAGCTGGTCAAGGAGGTAATCAGGGAGGTGGTACAAGGTCTGAACAGGCGGCAGAGTCTGCAATTCAGAGTGTGGACATTTCAGTAGAGAAAGGCTGTTGAGGCCACCAAGCCCTCAGCCACTGCAGCTGCCCCCAGGGTGCATCCTGCGGGGACTCAGGATGGGAGAGAGCAGGCTCCTGCTCTTAGGCACCCTAGATAGCTAAGGTGCCTATCAAAGGAATGATTTCAATAAGCCTAGACTCTTGCATCTTCCCATACATAGAAAAGTGATAACTTCATTAACTTGAGATGTCTGTTTTCCTTTAACAGTAATCTTTTGATGTTCCAATTGCCTGGGGTTTTTTGGGGGGGCAAAAAACCCTATATATCCTGGCTTGTCCCTTACCTCTTTGGAGCAGTCCCTCAGAGTTTCCTGAGAGGCTATATCCCGGGCTTAAGTCCTCCGTAAGTCAGCAGAATAAAACATAATTCTCAACTTTTAGGTGTGTGTGTTTTTCAGTCAATACGCTTTCACCAGAAATGTCTGGGACGGGATGCAATGGGTCTTTCCCCAGTGTCCACTCGCCTTCCTTCTTCCCAGATCCAGCCCTGGGGTAGAGGGGGCAGCTGCACCAGGTGGGACTGATTAGTCTAAGCCAGTTGGCAAAATCCTGGCTCCTCTGACACAGTAATTAGTCCAGGAATGGGCATGTGACCTGGTTCTGGCCAGCAAGACCTAAGCAGGAGTTTGGTGGAGGCTTCAGGAAAGAAGGTTCCCACTTTTCTGGGAGAGCTGCAGAAAGCCATGTCTTTCTCCCGCTCAGAGTGAATGAGGAAGCATGTAGTCCCAGCCCCTGCTGGCAGCCATCCTAGAACCCTGAGGGGCACTACTTCGAGGATGAAGCCAACACTTGGATGAGAGTAGAGAGATGCAAAGATCCTGGACATCCTTGATAAGATGTGGCTGAGCCACTGGATCAACCCGCCCTGAAGCCTGCCCTGCATCTGAACTTCCAGGATAAAAACCACATTAAACTGTGTTTTCCTGTCCTCGCAGCCTGGAGCTCTGTCACTGACAAGCATCCCTTCCACTATGAAAAAAGGAACAAGCCAAACGGGAAGTCCGAAATTGAGAGAGATGATGGCTGATGGTTCCAGTTTTTCTCCGTAAAGTAAAGGGTGACCCACGTACTAAGAGTGAGGAGGGAGCTGGGAAGAGTGAGGAAGACCAGACCTGGTTGTTTCGGGCAAAGGGAAAGAGAGCTGCCTGGGGCTACGGAGCGGGCCCGGTGGGTGTGCTGAGCACCCAGATGAGGTTTTAAGACCTCTGGCAGCCGCAAACAGCATGAAGCTGTGCCTCTCACCCAAGACCACCATCCTGTGGGGACAGCCTCTGGGCTGGCCATGGGGCATCAAGGGGACAAGCGCAAAAGGAGTTGGAGATGTGAGCACAATAGCAGTTGAAGAGATGGACCCCACGATCTACGCTGGACCTGGAAGGGAGTGAGAGCAGGAGGGGCTGGTTGGTCAGGAAAAATCAGAGGGACAAAGAGACTAGGCATCTCGTTGGATCGAAGAACAGGTTCATTGGAAGTGAGGCGACAGGGAGACGATGCAGAGAAAGGTCCTTGTAAGCAGAGTTAAGTGTCCCCAGAATAACACAAGGGCCCAGCAGCCCCCAGGGCCCAGCCCACTCTACCCCTAACCCATGAGTGTTGTTTCAGGATTAACTGAAGCAGATAAATCTTAATCTAACTGAAGCTGGACTGACACAGATAAGAACTCAGAGGGGCCTAATTCTTCCCATATCACCGGGAGCCATGTGTGGTGGCAGGAAGGAGGGGGCATGTTTTCAAGTTTGTGCTGATGTTTCCGAAAACTCTGGAGGAAAGGAGACACTCTGTGAAGGAGAAATGAGGGACACTGCAGAGAAAAGCATCCTTAAACGGGTCCTTTTGGAGGACTCACCTCTGTGTTCATCTTGGTCCCTTTCTGCAGGAGCTGCGAAGACAAAAGCAGAGGTTCAGGACCTTGGTGGGACCTCCCCAAACTCCCTGCCGACACTTTCCCTGGCCACCCCCCTTCTCCCCCCACTTCCTGCCCCATTGGCCCCATCTTCCCCAAATGCCTTCACCACCTTGTGCCCTCCAGTGAGGACACCCAGGCCGGTGTCTGATCTGACACCGGCAGGTGGTCGCTGGCCCCCCTGGGGACATCACACCAGTAATGTTTCTCTAAAGAACACTGCCAACCCCCAAGGGCTGGCATCTCTCATACTAGAAGGGATGCTTCTGTATACTTAAAAGAATGATGCAGGGCTTCCCTGGTGGCTCAGTGGTTAAGAATCCACCTGCCAACGCAGGACACACGGGTTCGAGCCCTGGTCCGGGAAGATCCCACATGCCGCGGAGCAACTAAGCCCGTGTGCCACAACTACTGAGCCTGTGCTCTAGATCCCGCGAGCCACAACTACTGAAGCCCGAGCGCCTAGAGCCCATGCTCCACAACAAGAGAAGCCACCGCAATGAGAAGCCCACGCACTGCAACGAAGAGGAGCCCCCGCTCGCCACGACTAGAGAAAACCCGGGTGCAGCAACGAAGACCCAACACAGCCAAAAATAAATAAATAAACACATTTATTTAAAAAGAGAAAAAAAGAAAGAGGCATGGGAAGAGCCAGAGACAACGTGTAACAAATGGGTCTGGCCGTGTCCTAATGAAACAAAACAAAACAAAAAGAATGTAGTGTTATGTGTCCCTTACATGTGGGGTGGGGAAGTCAGATAACGAAATATGAGGAAGATGGTAACAACTGCGAGACAACTTGTGTCAGCTGCTTTATCTACATGAACCCTAATCCTTGAAACCTTGGCAAAAAGGCTAATATTAACTCCATTTTACAGATGAGGGGTCTGAAGTTCAGGGTGGGTTAAAGCACTTGGCCTTACAGTCACGGTGTTGTGGCCCTGTGCTGTAACTTCCAGCTTCCTGGCTATGGAGCCAAACCCAGACTGCCCCAGAGACCTTTCCAGGGCTGTCTTACACACACCCGGAGAGCTTTTATGGTAAATAAAAGACCTAGGGTTTGGTCTGGCTTCAGTCACGGACCAACCAGGTGACCACAACCAAAGAGGTTCTCCATGTGTAGGCTGAATGGCTGGACCTCATCTCTAAGGTCTCTTCCAGCTCTAAAATGCTCTCTGATTCCCAAAAAAGGAAAATCTGGTGACTCTTAAAACGGTGCTCAACCTCAGTTGTGAAATGACTTTACCTAGATGCCCTGTCACACAAAAAAACATTTGCCACATGTTGGTCAAATATCTCTGATTTTTTTTTTTTGGCCTTGCCGCACAGCTTAGTCCCCCAACCAGGGAATGAACCCAGGCCCCGGCAGTGAAAGCTCAGAGTCCTAACCACTGGACCACCAGGGAACTCCTACCTATTACTGGGGAACTATAGGTAGGTATCATCTCTACAGACGGCAGTTTAGCAACATCTATTAAAATTCCAAATGTAAGCAAGCAATTCCACTGCTTCCCATTTTTCTTTAATTAAAAATGTGTTTTTCAAGATTTAACCTTTTAATTGCAGTACAGTTAATTTACAATGCTGTGTTAGTTTCAGGTGTAAAGCAAAGTGATTTAGTTATATATACACATATACATACATATTATATATATATTATACATAGATGTGATATATATATATATATATATAAATAACAGCCAAGCCACAGAAGCAACCTAAACATTCATCGACAGATGAATGGATAAAGAAGATGTGGTACATATATATACAATGGAATATTACTCAGCCATAAAAAAGAAAGAAATAATGCCATTTGCAGCAACATGGATGGACCTAGAGATGATCATACTAAGTGAAGTAAGTCAGAGAGAGAGAGAGAGACAAATATCATAAGATATCACACTTATATGTGGAATCTAAAGTATATAAATGAACTAATTTACAAAACAGAAATAGACTCACGGACACAGAAAACAAACTTATGGTTACCAAAGGGGAAATGGGTGGGGAGGGATAAATGAGGAGTTTGGGATCAACAGATACACACTCCTATATGTAAAACAGATTAACCAAGGACCTCCTATAGAACACAGGGAACTCTTTTTTTTTTTAATTTTATTTTTTTTTTATTTTTTAACATCTTTATTGGGGTATAATTGCTTTACAATGGTGTGTTAGTTTCTGCTTTATAACAAAGTGAATCAGTTATACATATACATATGTTCCCATATCTCTTCCCTCTGTGTCTCCCTCCCTCCCACCCTCCCTATCCCACCCCTCCAGGCGGTCACAAAGCACCGAGCTGATCTCCCTGTGCTATGCGGCTGCTTCCCACTAGCTATCTACCTTACGTTTGTTAGTGTATATATGTCCATGCCTCTCTCTCGCTTTGTCACAGCTTCCCCTTCCCCCTCCCCATATCCTCAAGTCCGTTCTCCAGTAGGTCTGTGTCTTTATTCCTGTCTTACCCCTAGGTTCTTCATGACATTTTTTTCCCTTAAATTCCATATATATGTGTTAGCATATGGTATTTGTCTTTCTCTTTCTGACTTACTTCACTCTGTATGACAGACTCTAGGTCTATCCACCTCATTACAAATAGCTCAATTTCGTTTCTTTTTATGGCTGAGTAATATTCCATTGTATATATGTGCCACATCTTCTTCTTGATATATTCACTATCTTATAATAACCACTGCTTTCCAATTCTGTCTCCAGTCCCCACAGGAGAAATCACTAAATTGCCCTGAGTCCTTTGTTCTTGTAGAAACATTACTGTTGCTTGCCTTCCCTTTCTAATAACAACTTCCAGAAAAGGTTTCCTATAAAAAGTCAATAAAGCATTACTTATGAACTTTACTACCTTTCCCACAGAATCTGGGGAATGCAAAACAAAACAAACCAATTTGCAGAGATGCACATGGTTGAGAAAGGACCCCACCTGGAAACCTTACCACCTTAGGCACCAGCGGTCAATTACCAAGGGTGAATTGCATTATTACTTATAAAGCACGTTCAACAGGGGTATCCTGGCCAGGATTCTTTCCATACTCCTTCTCCAGCTTTCAACTTCCCTTGTAATAAGATGGCACTGTTGGGGTAGGCAGCAACCCCAGGCCACCTTTCAGCACCCTCCCTGCCCATCACACATCCCTCCCTTCCTCCCCACTGTCCTGCCAAGACCCATTAAAGTCTGAACAGAACCCAGGGAGAACTTTATTCTACATTTAATACATTCTAAAAGATCTAAGACTAGGGCTTCCCTGGTGGTTGAGAGTCCGCCTGCCGATGCAGGGGACATGGGTTCGTGCCCCAGTCCGGGAAGATCCCACATGCCGCGGAGCAGCTGGGCCCGTGGGCCATGGCCGCTGAGCCTGCGCGTCCGGAGCCTGTGCTCCGCAACGGGAGAGGCCACAACAGTGAGAGGGCAGCATACCGCAAAAAAAAAAAAAAAGAAAAAGAAAAGAAAAGATCTAAGACCTAACCCTATAACAAGAAGATTTACTTTTTTCCCCTGTACTCTAGTGTATTTTATTTTTATTTATTTATTTTTATTGGCGTAGAGTTGATTTACAATGTTGTATTTGTTTCAGGTGTACAGCAAAGTGGTTCAGTTATACCCATACAAATATTCATTCTCTTTTCGATTCTTTACCTATATAGGTCATTACAGAATACTGAGTGGAGTTCCCTGTGCTGTACAGTAGGCTCTTGTTGGTTACCTATTTTATATACAGTAGTGTGTGTATGTTAATCCCAAACTCCTAACTTATCCCTCCCCCCACGTTTCCCCTTTGGTAACCGTTAAGTTTGTTTTAGAAATTTGTGAGTCTGTTTCTGTTTTATAAATTATTTCATTTGTATCATTTTTAAATGAGCTTCCACATATGAGTGATACCATATAATATTTGTCTTTCTCTGACTAACTTCACTTTGTATGATTATCTCTAGGTCCATCCATGTTGCTGCAAATGGCATTATTTTGTTCTTTTTAATGGCTGAGTAATATTACATTGTATACATGTACCACATCTTCTTTATCCATTCCTCCGTTGGTAGACATTTAGGCTGCTTCTATGTCTTGGCTATTGTAAACAGTGCTGCAATAAACATTGGGGTGCAAGAAGATTTACTTTGGTTTTTTTTTTATTTCAAGGGTTTAATATTTTTAACAATATTGAAAATATTTTTAATAATATTTAAAAGCCTAAAAGGCTTTAAGTTTCTGACTTTTAGTATTGTTTAGAAAGACTTATATATACATTTTAATTTTCACTTAGATTTTTAACTTTTTTCCCCTTTATTTATATGTTTAGTTTTAATCAATCTAAATTATATTTTGGTATATGGCATGAGATAAGACTCTCCTGTAATCTTCCCAAATAGTTGAGTTGTTCTCACATCATTTACTGACTCTTTCATTCTTTCCCCCAATGGCTCATACTTAAATTCTTATGCATATGGTTATTCTTTCTTTCACCTTCTGGGCTGTGCCACTGACCCGGCTTCCCGTGCCTGTAATATGTTGTTTACTGTAGCTTTACAATATGTTTTGCTATCTGGTAGTTCAAGTTCTCTCACACTAACTTGTTCGGTATTCTTATCTAGTCTTGCTTGCTCAGACTTCCAGATGAAGTTTAGAACAGCTCTGTCAAGTTAAAGAAAAAAAAAATTTTCCATAGGAACTGTGCCTATGATTGCATCAAATTTGTAAATTAAATTAGGATTCAGCCTTCCCACCCAGAAATATATGGTGTGCCTCTCTAGGGGAAGCCACTTAAAGAAAAAAGAAGAATCTCGAGCTAGTTCCTGAATTACTGCATAATTACAAACAACAGCTCAGGCTGCAGTGGTTCACTAGAAAGTTAAAGGAAAAAAGTCAACACTTTTGCATAAATAACCTGTTTAAAGCGTTTTCAAATAGGTTTCTCCT